GTTTCAGGTGGGGGTTTGTAGCTCCTCCCCCTCGTTATGTGAGTCGTTTGTACAGCAGCTAATAATGAGCTCAAAACTACTACAGGTGGCTCAGACCAACCCGTCCATCTCAGAGACGTTGAGGAACACCTGAACCTGGACTCACCTGAGGCGTCCCTCCTGCTGCGCTGGCGTCCTCCTCTCCCTGACTCCTCCCTCCCTCCTCCTCTCCCTGACTCCTCCCTCCCTCCTCCTCTCCTCTTGTCTTTCTTCTCGTCTTTGTTCTTCAGCAGCTGCCACAGCTTGTCCAGCTCCAGCGTGTTGTCGGACGCCGCCAGCACGTCGGCGTTGCTGAAGACGTTCTTGAAGACCCTCAGGTGTTCCTCCAGCCCCCTCTTCAGCCACGTCACCTCCGCCTGCAGCCTGGCCTCCCCGTCGGCGGAGGCGTCGGGGCAGGAGCAGGGCTTCTCCTCCAGCCGGAGCAGCTTCTGCTGCAGCTCCTCCACCGTCTTCTCCAGGTTCCACAGGTCGCTGCCCTGCAGGAGCAGCTGGCGCTCTCTGGCTGGAAGTCCACCGACGCTCCTCCTCATGTCGCCGGGCAGCCGCTCGTCCTGCAGGGGGTGGGAGGAGGAGGAGGAGGAGGAGGAGGAGGAGGAGGAAGGCTGGTCTGCAGACGGCACCTCCTCTCTGACTCCTGACACACAGAGAGAAGTGGTGTTAGAGGAGAAGGTGTTGATCATCACGATGATGACTCTTCCAAATGAGTCAGACGTGTTGCTGTAGTTCCTCACAGCTGCCACTAGAGGCTGCTGAAGGTTTGCTTCTAAAGCTCACGTCTAGTCACGTCTGTTTTAACACGATCTCTCACTGTGGGCTCGTTTTTACTGCAACATAAAGTCCTGCATCTGCAAACAGCAGAACCAGTAGAGAGAAGTATGTGCAGGATGACACAGTTATAAGTCATGAAACTAAACCTGGACTCAGCCGGTTCCCACAGACGGGACCAGTCCTGGAGAAACCGTCACTATCTCTACATACTACAGATTCTACGACTTACATTTTAATTTATTTTTTCTAAATCAGAGCAAACTGTTGATCTTTTGCAAATCACAATTTGAAGCTCAGATCTGGTGAATTTTTCCAACAATATCTTCAGAAGTCTGAAGATCTGACCATTTTCCTGCTTTCACAGTTCCTAGCGGTGATAAATGGAGCACTGTGGGTCTGTTCAAGAACCTTCCAGGAGGTTCTGGAGTTCAGAGCGTGAAAACAATCGCTGCACATTAAAACAGGATCTGGAGGCTGCGAGGTTTCCTCCAGTGGAAAACGGACTTCCTACAAACTGAACATAAGCTGCTGTGTGTCTGCACAACGAAGTGAATCAAACACTTAAACATCCTCAAAAGGTTTTTTTATAAATCTGACTGTGCATAAACAATGATCCTTAGATGTTGTCTCTGACACACAGACTGTGATAATCAGAAGAAGAATTGTCTGTTGCATTTACTGCGTTATAAAAATCAACTGTAGCATCACGTAGACAAACTGAGAGGGTTAAATCCTGACAGTGATTAAATGTTTATGATCAGTGCTGATGGAGATGAACCGAAAGTGAAAGTAAAACATTTTTGTCACTGTTTTTGGACGTCTTTGAGGACCTCAGCTGTAAACTGGCCCCTAAGAGTTCAACATGAGACTAAAACCTGTTCTTCAGTGTGATCAGGATCAGGATCAGGATCAGGATCAGGATCTGTAGATGGTGTTCGTCGCTCTAACTGGTTAAACAATCAGCTGCTGCAGCCTCTCCGTCCACAGTCTGAGGTGTTGTGTCTCTACCTGTCCCGCCGCCCTGCAGCGTCCTGATGCTTTCATCGTGTCCCTTCAGTTGGTCCTGCAGCTGCCTCAGCTGCTCCTTCAGCCCCGGCACCGCGTAGGCCTTCTGGTCGGGAACGGGCCAGTCCAGGAACTCGAGCACCTCCTCGTCCAGCAGCCGCTCCAGCACCTCGCTGTGCCGGATGGCGTCTTTGAGCAGCGAGTTGAAGGAGGCCGACAGGTGCTTCATGCTCGCCTGCAGCTTGACGTCGGCCTCCGTCAGGCCGGAGACCGAGTCGCTCAGCTGGGTCAGGCTGAGGTCCAGAGTCCTGGTCCTGGTCTGCTCCGAGGTCAGAGACTCCTTCACCTGCAGGACGAGAACAAGTGGATTCAGCTTCACTTGGAGAAACATTAACGAATGAAAACAATCAGACTTCAGATTTGAGTTGCTGAAGGTTCAGCTCAGGGTTAGGGTTAGGTCCAGAGACGCTGGACCACTGAAGACTAATTAAAGGTTTACACTTCATCCTGAACTGTTGGAAGGTGAACATGCAGAAAACTGGAATAAATCACGAACAAGTCCGATTGAGCCGCAGGAAAAATCAGATTTAATCTTCTCCAGACAGGGTTCTTGATGTGAATTTGCCGTTTTGCGGTTCTGATCGTTTTTGGTGGTTTGTGATGGTTTTTAGTTTAACAAGTATTAATTACCCAGAATTCATAAAACAACAGCTTCAAACATTTTGTTTGTTCAGGACCAGCTTCAGTTGAACTTTAACAGAGAAGGTGTTGATTTTAATGAAAATTCTCCGGTTTGCTTCTCAGACGTGAAGGTTTGATTCTGATCTTTATGTTTTGCATCAGTTTTTGTGAATGTTTTTGGTTTCTGGTTGAACAGAACAAATCATTTTGACCTCAGCGGTTCGTTACCTGCTGGAGGCCATGTTGGAGCGCCTCCACCGCCGGCTCCCAGTCGCCGGCTCCGCCCCACTGCCCCGCCCCTCCCTCGCTGTTCTCGTCCAGGGCCAGTCTGTTCTCATTGGCCAGCTCCGTCACGTTGGCCACGCCCTCCTCCAGTCGGGCCACGGCGGCCGTCAGGACCTTGCAGTCGCAGCTGGTGGACGTGTTGTGCTTGTAGAAGACCGTGTACAGGTAGTCCACGTCCACGTCCAAGTCCTGCAGCCGCTGGTCCTGCTGCGTCAGGTTTCCCGCCACCTCGTCCACCCGCCGCAGCACCGACACCTTGGCGTCCTCCACCTCCAGGCCCGTCTCCATGAACAGGACCTGGCTCTTCCGGGCCGTGCTGTTGATCAGCTTCTCCAGCTCCTTCATGTGCTGCCTGAGCTGCTCGACGCCGCCCGACGTCACCTCCACGTCCTCCGTCAGCCCGCTCACCTGCACAGGTGACCTCTTTAACCTCCTGTTTCACATCTGCTTTATTTCAATTAAAGTATGAGCTGCTCTGTGTGACGCACCTTCACCGTGTTGTTCACCACCATGTTGTCCAGACGTTCGATGGCCTCCCAGAGCGCCGAGGTGTCGGAGGACAGCGGCAGCTGAGGTGGAGGCGGCGAAGGTGGAGGGAGGCGATCCTGCAGTTCATCCTCAGTGATCTGATCCTGGTCGAACTTCAGCTCAGACAGCGTGGTGTTGATGGTCTGCAGGCTGACCTGGGATCAGAGGCAGGAGCCACAGTTAATAATAATTAATAACTCATAATAAGTCACATGGTGCTAAAAAGAGGCTGACGGATAAATACATGCTGAGAGCTGTCGGTGTTTCAGTCGTCAACCTGAGCTGCAGCATCATAGGCCCTAGCCCGGTATGCTAGTGGCTAACTGGGATTCTAGTGACTCAGAATGGTAGCTGCTAGCTTTAGTATCTTAACTGCTAACCACAGGGATCCTAGTTGTTTACTTAAGGATCCTAGTGCTAACTTAGGAATTCTACTTGCTAGCCAAGGCATGGTGTTTAGCAGCCCCAGGATCCCGGCTGCCAGCCTAATGGTCTTGTGATCCCTTGTTGCTGATCTAAGGCTCGTAGCTGCTGGCCTAGGAAAGCTAGTGACTAGCTCAGGAACACTAGCGCCTAGGAATGGGAGTTGCTTGTCTAGGCATGCTAATGCTAATTTGTCTTTCGTCTCAGATGAATAAATCCTGAGAACCATCAGTCTTGGAGTCCTCGTCCCGTCATCCACTGACCTGCAGCATCTTCTGGTGGCGCTTCAGCTTCATGTCGATGTCCGTCTTGAAGCTGGTCAGGTTGTAGTGCAGCATTGCATGCTGGGAGTGCAGCCTGTTGTCCATGTCGCTGCGCTGGTTCTCCAACTGCCTCCGCAGCTCCCTGATGTGGTGGAAGGCCTCGTCCAGTCTGACCTCCAGACGTTCCTCCGCTCCGTCCGCGGGTCCCGCCTGCAGCTCCGCCTCCAGCTGGCTGCTCTTCAGCTGGGCCACGTCGCGGGCCAGGTCCCCCACCTGCCGGCTCAGGTGCTCCAGGGAGCGGTTGAAGCCCTCCAGGACCGGCTGCAGCTGGGACATGACCAGCGCCATCATGTGGGGGACGGGGAGGGCAGCGGGGGTGTCTGGGTAGGGCATCTCGTTTACAACTGGAAAAAATCACAATAAACTACAGATCAGAAGTCTTAATGTGGAGACATTTCTAACATGTGATGCATCAAGAAACTACCGACGGCTTCCTGAAAACTGTCTGAAGCTACAGCGTCCTTCTTACCTGTAAAAATGTTGTACATTTCTGGGTCAACACCTAAATTGCTCCTCACAAAAACAATATTTAGTCAACTAAAGGTCGTTTAGGTGCAGTGAAGGGTTTCGTTAACCTCACTAAGGTTTGGTTCAGCTCCTCTGGTTCTGAGAGCGACACATGGATTCATCTCAAACTCCAGAAAAAAACAACATGCAGGAGCCACAAAACTAAAAGAGACAAAACGAAAGGACATAAAAATACTTGTGGGGACAGCAGCTGTCATCGTTAACTGATCAGGAAAATGTTAAATTACAGATCAAACCTTTAATGTGTTTTAAATCTGTTGTGCATCAACAAGCTGCAGCATGTTTCCTGAAGCTGTGAGGCCAAAAACCAGCAGCAGCTCCATCTGTTCAACCCGTGACTGTTTATTTACTCTCAGTCAGACGACACGAGGCTCCTGCTGGAGTTCAGGTAGAGTTTTAAGGTTCTGTCTCCGTTTCTGTGCTTCGGCTCATTAAAGTGTCGTCTTACTTTTTAATTGTGACGTTTTTAGGAGAAACAACTCGGTTGTGCAACAGACGTGGTTTTGTGCGAGCAGGAAGCCGGCGCTGCTCGGCTCCGTAAATCACGCCGACAGTCATTAGATAGAAACGCTGCCAGCTGACCGGGGTGCGTTTCATTCCTGCGCCCTCCCCTTCCTCCTGCAGCTGCAGCGGGAGGCGACCCAGAGCCTCCTGTCGCAGCCAGGCCTCACCGTATCGTGACCTCCGACCCGTCCGCTGGGCTCGGTTTGTGGTGATGAAAACGGGTCGTGATGAAAGCGGCTGAGATCACAGAGGTTCAGGTGGCCTCGCGTCTGGACTGCGTCTTCAGAGGAGGCAGCTTGTGGACCTGAGAGGAGCCTCGTCACACGTTCATTAGCCTCAAACTGAACCAGAACACCGAGTCTGGACCGACAATTAGCTCCTTGAAGAAACAGACGTTGTTTTGCTTTACCAGAAAAACCGTCACTTTCTAGGAAAAGCCTAAAAAGTCCAAAAATATCTGAGATGAGACAAACGTCCCCCCGGGCCAGAAGCATGAGTCAGTCACCCACAAACCTTTCCTCACCCCCAACAATATGTCTCCAGCTTACAAAAATATCCATCCTTCATTCATTCTGGAGAACTTGTGTTTCCAAAAATATCCCTCCTCAAAAAATGTCCCAAGAAATGTTCCCCGCCTCCAACGCATCCCTCACTTCCTATAAAAACATGTTTCATCACAGAAAACGCCTCCACTTCCAAATAATGTTCTGACTTTCCCCAGATACCCTAAAAATGTCCTCATGTCTCTAAAACATTGTCACTTTAAAAAAAAATGTTGTCTTTGCCCAAAAAGAAAATGTCTCTAAATATCTCCTCACTTCCCAGCAACGTCAGAATATAAACGTAGAAAAGAACTTCATGTTTAACCCTCTGAACCACCAAGCAGCTGCTGGTGTTCAGTTTATTTGCTTTTGTCTCATTTTTACTGCGATCTAAAGTCGGATATGGAAACAGAACAACCAGGACTAGAAGTAGGGAGACATTAAGACATGTCTTCTGTGCAGTAGGACACGTTTCATGAAGTGTACATGAATCAAAAAGACCTGGAATCAACATTTTCCTACAGATATTATCAACACAGGAAATAAAAACCAAGGTGTGTCTGCAGACTACAGATACTGTGATAGTCCCACTTTTAAAGTCTTTCCATACTCGTCTCCTCTCTGCTCACAGCCGGCAGGTCAAATATTCTCAGAATGTACCACAAAGAGACACAAAACAACCACAAAGAGACATAAAACAACCACAGAGACACAAAAATAACTACAAAAAGACATTAAAAAAAACCACAAATAGACACAAAACAACCACAAACAGACTACACTGATACTTTCCCATCGTGCCTCGGCCTCACTCAGGTTTGCTCCTCTGATTCGGTATCAGTGTGATCACCACCAGGACTTGTGAGCCCACTTGGATTCGTTTCAAACCCCAGAAACAACAACAACAACAACAACAACATGCACCATCGGATGGCTCCGCTGAGGCGCCGCGGACCTCCGATGGACCGGGTCCAGCTGGAGCAGCGTCCTGCAGTCTGAACCAACAGTAAGGAGCCTCATCAGGTGAAGCTCGGCTCTGAGACTCTGGATCTCAGCAGCAGCAGCAGCGGCGGCGGCGGTGGAGGGGCTTCCTTTTCCGGGACTGTCGCATGTTTACAGCCCAGTGTGGAAACTGAACCGGTTCCATGTCGGACCAAGAACTCAGCTCTGAAATCCCCGGAGAGCCGTGATTCATCAGGACCGGAGTGTTTGTGTGGAGGTGTGAGACGCTTCCAAACATGTTGAAATCAGCCTCATGGTTTAGTGCTGCTGTCAGGGAGCCTCTGTCAGTTAGTCTAGCGCCACCAACAGGTCAAACATTCACACCAACACAGCATGATGCACTGCTGCTGCTACT